GAAAATTTCATTTTTCCACCCCCTAGCACCCCCTTGGACCAGTCTGAGAGACTTGATAATTTTGCTGAGGGTTGAGGGAGTTGCGCTGAGTATTTTTTCATCAATATTTATTGATGGTTTTGTGTATTATTAGTCGATTTTTTTTTCGCCCGAAAAACGCGAAAATGTAATTTTTTCACCCCCTAGCACCCTCTTGGTCCACTCTGAAAGACTTGATGATTTTTCTGGGGGTAGGGGGAGTTGCACTGAGTATTTTTCCATTAACATTTGTTTGTGGTTTTTTTTATTATGAGTCGGAGAATTTTTTTCCCCCTGAAAAACGCGAAGATTTCATTTCTCCACCCCCTAGCACCCCCTTGGACCAATCTGAAAGGCTTGATCATTTTCCTGGGGGTCGAGGGTGTTTCGTTTAATCTTTTTTTATAACAATGTGCTGGTGGTTCTGGCTATTTATGTTGCAGAAATTTTTTCTTCCACAAAAAAAAGACAAAAATTGAGATTTTCATCTCCCTACCACCCCCTTGGCCTGAACAAAGGGGGTTGATCATATTGTGGAGAATGGGGAGGCTGTTCCAGATCATTTCGGAATTTAGAACTTAAATAGGAACAATTTTCAGTTTTCGTATTAAGGTATGGGGCCCCACAGATCCTTGCTACGGCCCTGAACTTTCGCTGCCAAGTCGGCTGCTAACTTCAGCGTCATAATGAAATGGTTAGTTGCAAATTACCAAAAAAATAAAAGTCTGATTCGAATTCAGTAGCGGAGCGGTAAAACGGTTTAATTCAATTTTAAGTATTGAATAATTAAAAATGTATGCGTGGAACTATATAAACATCAAATCGTGTGGCCTAACCTAAAAAAATGGATTTGTCAATTTTGTGAATGAAAAAAGTGAAAGTAACCAAAACTCCACTTGATTGATTAAAAATCACACCAGAAGAAGAAGAATTGAGGGTTTTTTCATGCCTAAATTCTCAATAATTGATTAAATTACCTTGATTTCGCTCTGCAATTGGCCCGGCCGCCATAGCTACACCAAAAACACCAAAAAACACCCCGCGGAGTGCTGTAGTTAGCGCAGGCGCGGGAATACTTGAGATAATTGAAAAAAGCAAAACGGAATGGGTGCAACTGGACACAGTCAACTGAACACATCTGCAACTGACCACAGATCTGGTAAATTCGGCAACTGAACACACACGTAAATACAAGAGGGTGAAACGTAGTGATATTGTCAACTTAGTCTTCCCTATCGACGAAGTCAGTTGATGATATACATGGGAGATGGCGCTGATAGGTTTAAAACGGAGGAATGAGAATTACTTGTATATAGTGTGAGCTAACTTTGGGAGATGACGAAGAACTATTGCAGGAGCATCAATAATCAGAATATTAATATGTCAAGTATCGTAAGAACATCGTCAATCAATCGAACAAGAGTGAGGTGGTCATTCGCTAAGGTGTATCAAAACAAAGTATTGTCCAAGTCTCGTAATAAAATCGAATAAAAATAATTCAAA